AGATAAGAATAATTTTTACTGTTTCTAAATGAATTTATGTATCACTTGTATCACCTGTCGTCCCGCTGATCGTCGAGTGACTCGAGCGGGCACCAGCAACTCTTCCATCTTTCCCTATCGCGTGCAAGAGTAGCCCAGTGAGTCCTCCTCGCTGCCGGGATCCGCTGAGCATCGTATCTTTCTTCTATCGCCTTCGTGAAGAAATCGGACCAACAGGTCAGTTCTTCCTGTAGAGCGCTTGATGTCCCGAAAAATCCGGTCGGTAACGGCTCTCGTCCATCGATTGTCGTTGAAGCGCATCACCTGCCCGGCCCACCTTATTTTCGATATCCTGGCGTGTAGAACGGTGTCTCTGATTTTCGATCGTTGACGAAGGCGGAACTTTGGATCCTTTCGCTCATTTGCGAGATGCGGGGTACTCCTAGCATCGACTTCTCGGTTGCGCGCTCTATAACACCAAGTGATCGTTCATCCTGCTTACGTAGCGACCAGGTTTCTGCTGCATACATTAGGGCAGGGATAACTGTCAAGTCGAAAAGGTGGGCACGGAGTCGGATGTTCTTAGTCCTCTTCACTACATCTTCGATGCTCTTAAACGTTCCCCAAGCCGCTCGTTTCCTCCTGCTCAACTCTGGAGCTAGGTCGTTTATCATGTTGATTTCACGACCTAGGTAGACGTAACTGGAGCATTCGGAGATTGTCGTTTCGTTGGGCTTGAATGAGGCATTCAAACCCATCCGTTCCTCATGAACATCGTTTTCGTTAGATTTAGTTGGAGACCTATCTTTCCACGGGCGTTATCGAAATCGGTCAACATTCGTTCCGCTTGGCTGATGTTTGGTGTTATGAGAACGATATCGTCAGCAAAGCGAAGATGGTTCAGTTGTCGACCGTCAATTTTCACTCCCATATCGTCCCATTCTAATGTTCGCGTGACGTTTCGTAGGGTGGCACTGAATAGTTTTGGCGAAATTGTATCGCCTTGTCGAACCTTGAGCAAGAAATGAGAAAGTTTTTCTTCAAACTAATGTTCGCTCGCCTCATAAGTTTTGGCACTAGAGAAATAAACATCAAACTTGTAAACCAAAATGATTAAAATTGCTTGATTTAAGTATCGTTCAATTGCGCATTTTGTCGCAAACACTTTGGTATACAATGTGTCTATGACTGATTCATAGTAGAGCTATCTCAGATACAAATTCGCTTGTTACTCCTGCACGGATGGCACGTAAGGGAAAATGCTAATGAAGCGGCGCGTATGATCAATGGAGCTTGGGGCCATGTAGAAAAAATGGATGGAAAGTGTTTTGCGAAGTCCAGAGCTGATCTAGATGATCAGTCGCGCTTGGGCCCTCTACAGGAGGCTCCATTATTCTTGCTCGACGCTTCACTAGTATTTTCCATTTTGCTCTATTAGTGCATGAGTAGCAAGCGAATTTGTTTTCATGACAGCCCCATCAGGAAGCAAGTACAGACAAGCTGTAAGCTAAAGTATTCACAAGAAAATGCGCCTTCGAATAATACTAAAAACCATGCGTTTTTGACTACTTCTGGCTAATAAATTTGATGCTTATTGCTCCAGTTCTGGCCCTATCAACGGCCTAATATGATTCCATTTCCCTCAGTAACTTGTTAATAACTACCGTGGTTCCCGTATTCTATGAAACCTGTGCTTCCAACGGGCTCCCAAATCGCTCCTGGTTCTTTCGTAGAGGCTTTTTGAAGTTTTCAATCAAATTCCAAAATCGCCATGATTATACTAAATTTTTCAATGCCAATATAAGCAAATAACCCTTTCTTTTCTTTCATTTAGGATAATAATATTTTCGAATACACCAAATCTCTATAAATCTTCGTTGAAGAGCACGGGAGCTGAGCTTAATCGTTGAGCTCTATGAGATGATTATATCCTATGGGGATTTTGCTCTAAAAGTCACAGAGGAAGTCCTAATTATAATGTTCTAATCCCTAAGCAAATCAACGAAGACGCATAACTTGAAGATATCAGAAAGATGTCGGTGGAAGATTTTGAATTATTTTTGACATCACAGCGGCTTTAGAAGATATTAGGTCTCCTGCCGTGTTTCTTTTTTGTTATTTTATTCATTTACAGTGAATTTACTTCTTGGTCTTTTTGATCGTGTTCAATGCCATTTGAAAGCTCGTGATCTCAAGATTCTAAATATGTAAGCCGTTTTGATTTTTATAACTGTATAAATTTTTTTACTTTAGAATGGATTCACGTGTTTTGTCACATCATCGACTATGGCAAAGCGTTTTACTGCTAAGGAATGTTGGAGTAATCTCAAAAAATGTTAATCACTTGGAACAACATTTGGGTTACATGGTGGATAAATTACACGTTCCCACCCTAATTCTTCCATCTTTTGCTGTGTCAGACGCGCAATATGTGAGCGAGCGTTGTCGTGACAGCGCTTCGATAAAGCTGTCGCAACGTTGCGTTGCTATCGCCTTCACTAAACTTTTTAGACCATCTTTGTGTAATTCGTGGATTATCCGCTTTGTGGCAAAGTGCTCGACATAGTTTTGTGTCGCTTCGATGACAAAATGACGCAAGTGCCACATTCAAGAGACGCTCACGACTTTGGTTTCGGAGTGTCCATTTTAAAGTAGAAGAAAATTCCATACAGTTACAAGGAATAAAATGGTTCACATATTTAGAATCTCGAAGTCACAAGCTTTAGAAGGACCTAAAGTGCGATAGAAAGTTCTAAGAAATAAGTTTATATCGAATCAATAAAAATAACAATACAATGCGACAAAATTTACTTGCCAACCTAAGAAAATCGTTCATTATTGTGACAAAAAAAATTTCTTAAATATTTGGAATTTCGAGATCACGAGCTTTCGAATGGCATCAAACACGACAAAAAAACCAAGGAATAAGTTTATCGTAAATAAATAGAAATAGCAAAAAAATTGCGATCGAACTTAGTTTCCAATCTAATACCATCGATAATCTATTGAGCAATTTAATGGCTTCTTTAGCGAATTCAAAGATTTATTCGCACTATCCAGTACTATATATTATGCATTTCCCTATCTAATAATATTACTACACAAGTGAAACTTCCTGAACATTTATTGATGACATTAATATTAATTAGCGGTGAATGAAAGGAAAAAACGATAATTTAATTGAGACGCATTTCTCCTGGATTAACAATGTTGCCGCTTACCTCATAAATGTCACACAAATAAAACAGAAAAACTCGCAGAACTTTGCTCTTTAAAACTAGCCAAAACGTGATGTTTTTACCACTGATAGTAAAAGCGCTTATAGCGCAGCGATTGATGACGCTCTGCAATTCGCTTTGTCATTGACTCAACTCAGCACTTCGCCAGCCACTTCTTCCGTCCTCACACGGTCACTAATCGAGATAGTATTTCTTCTCTTTGAAACAAAAAAAAATGAACTGGTAACTTTTTTTAGTAGGTACTGAAAAGCGATTATGAGACATTTTACGAGTTCAGTCAGGTGTACGTTGCTACAAACGAAATCAAATATATGCTTATACTCTAAGGGATTGCTAATGTTGAACGCTTTACAGATTATGCTTAAACTACGGCCCAATCGGTATAAATTTTCATACGTGAACGAAGTTGTGCATAATCTTGGAAGGATTTTCTGGAAAGGAACTGAAGCCCATTCTCGGACTTTTGGCAGAACATAGAAAACTTGTGCAAATTTCAGCCATGAGTTGTAGTGAAGTCATATAGCATTTGTGTGCAGATTGTTCCCCACTCGTCATCGATTCGACTAAAAGCATGCAGTGAGTTGACGAGGAAGTAATTGGAAAGCAAATCAAGATGGCGTGTAGGATCCAGTAGTGGCTGGCAGAATCCAAAAAGGCACCTCTTGTGTCGTGTCATGTCAAAAATACTTGAATCAATTACCGTTTAACGAAAATTCTGAAGTTCTTCATATCTTCCGAACACGAGTAGACCGAAAAGATAGTTACTATGTAAAATGGACCAAATAGCTAGCTAGCATCATTAAGGTTTCGAAGAATTTACGACGGATAGACACACCACTTATAGCTTCTCATACTTTCTGAGAATCTCAAGCCATTATGAGGGTGCTATAGGAAATTTATTTTCCTAACGTTTCGACGTTTTTCGAATCAAATAAGCTTTAAAGGCCTGGAAGCTGCAAAAATCTCAGCTATGTAGAATTTTTATCAACGACGTTTTAGAGTGAAATCTAAAGCATGATGGTTATTCATGTCGAAATTATTCGAAAATTAGGTTGTGAAAATTACCTTTATATATTTTGCAAGCCTCCGATATAAGCTACTGTTAAATTCTCCAAAGAAAATTTTAATTACTTAAGAAGAGGACGGCCGCTCGTTATTTTTTCTACCCTGAAAAATTTCTGCGGGCTGTCCCCCACCACCTCAACCGGCACTCAAAAAAGGAAGCCCCGGCCTAGCCATTCTCAAGACTGCAAGAGCATGTGCTCAATCATTTCTTCACGACATTCATGAAGATGACAAAATTTTCAATCAAGCGATGAACGCGAGCAAACGAAATGAATGCTAGAACTATTGGAACGAGCACACTAGTAGAGAAAACTGTATTGCGGATTAAATAAAATGGTGAAACAATTTTCTCACATGGTTAAAGTATGAGTGGATATTCAATTGCTTGCACTACAGATTTCCGCTGGAGTACCAAATAACCGGACGAAGGCGAATGCTTTGGCACATTTTCGAGTATGGATTTCTTCTTAATTGGGCAAACATGATAATGAAGAATCCTTTATCTTTCTATCATCCATTCTAGTACCCGTAGTTAGACTAACTTCCAGAACTTCTAAGATCAAACACTATTTGAAAAATAGCCCCAATATAGATCCTTTTCATTTAACCTCTTCTAGCGGTGGTATGATGTTCCAAATATACCCGTTGATGTAGAATGATGTGTAAAACCAGACAGATAGATGCGTTGTAACGTAGAAACAGTGGTGAGCAAAACGGGCGTCAGTAGTGCAACGGGTTAGAGCATGCTCTCCCATATAGAGTGAGATGTAGGTTCAAGCCCAGCGTGACGCGAAAGGTATGCACATCACTCTACATCAAACACCTACAATGTTTTGAGCAAATAATCTTCTTTTCCTCTTGACATGGTATTTGTTACCAAATATAAAATAAACATCTTACGTAAAAGCAACTACGGCAAGTGCGCCTTCTTACGCAAAATCCACAAGGGAAATTACACCTTCGAAAAAGCGCGTAAATAACGACTATAGGAAATCTATGAAACTGTACGCTTAGAACTTCCTTTGTAGGTTGCCATGCTCAAAGTCGTAATGCGAGTTGCTCTTCTCCAATCTCATGTAGGCAGTATTTCGAAAACCGGTTTTCATTCAATCTCGACATTTTCAATCAATAATAGCTTCTTTTATCACTTAGCTAAAACATAAGGCTGACAATTAAGATTTGTTGGGCTAACGTTCTGGCGTTTTCGTCTTCTTCAGAGCCGCTAATTTGAGTTCATTGCTCACAGCCCCTTCACTGCATCGTGAACTTAGCGTTCGTTGAAATTGGAATCAACTCTTATTCCGTGAAGCACCGCTCGAATAAAGAATCTCACTCGGCGATGCACTTATATAGAAGATGGCTCGCGTGCTAATTCGCCGTTGGCAGTGCTAATGCGCACTCAACTTCTTCGGGCAATCTATCCTACAGCAGTCGGTAATATTATCACTTAGTGTGAAGTATAGTGATATTTTGAAAATCAGGTTTTTATTTAACCTCCATTATCAACCAATATTATGTTTTTTCATAGCTTTTGAAAGAACCATCCTGGATGTAAGGTCATGGCCAAGTGAGGTTCTTCATTCGAGCGATGCTCCACAGAAGATGATTTGACTCAAACGACAATGAAGACGAAGATACACAAGAAGGGCGAATGACTGTGGACAATCAACTTGACTTACGAACTCTGAAGAAGACGAAGATATCTGAACGTTAGCCCAACAAATCTTATTCATCAACGTCGTACGTTAACTAAATCATTTGAGTAGTTTTATAGTGTAATTCGTCTCCTTCAGTCTTTTCTCAGAAAAATCATCCCAGCACTATGATTCTCGTAAGAGTCCTGCTTAAAAATTCCTACGTAAAGAATGGTAGCGCTTTTCTTGGTCTTCTGCAGATATATGTAAATTATATTGATATAGTGCAGGATCTTGACGTACGTAAGTGTTACACTTCAAATTCTGCAAAGTGTTGTCTCAACGGTATTTAAGTAAATTCACCATCACATGTGAGCGCCATAGCACTTTGTACCATTCTACTTTTCGGCTTGCATACGAATTTTATAAATGACGACTGTGCATATGTGGGCACGTGCGCCTGTTGATGTTATACTTTCTCTCTTTACTGGGATGTTAAATGCTGGTTGAGTGAGTCTTTTTTTTTTTTGAAATGCTAAGATAATTGCAGCGTGGATATAACTGTGCGAACCGATAAAAGGATAAAGGATAAAGGATAAAGCTCTTGGCGTTGGTCGATCCCTGAGCGATGCGCCACACATTCGTCTTTAAATTTTAGTTCCGCCTGAGGTGATTGAATGCATATCTGGCCTTTACAATGACTCGCGATGGCCTCCCGCTGAACCGAGTCAGTGCTGCTTATCCTCCCAGACAAATCTGAAACCTCTCTGGTACCAATTTACCGACCCCGCGGGGATGGATGACTTGGTGAGCCATAGCACGAGATTGAACCATTGACCTAGTGTGCAACGCAAAGCACTACTAACCACTGCGCCACATGCGCTCTGTGCGAACCGATAGAGCCGGAAACTTCTACTGCGTTAAATGAGGTACATTTTCATCAAAGAAAAACGAATCATTCGACGCTGAACCCATTTTTAGGTACGACCATATATTCAACCCTACAATGGATACAATGGATGGTCAAAATGACTGGACACATTTTTAGGTAACACAACCGCAAGCAAAAAACTACCGTTGTGTAGACTACTGTTTTTAGCTATCCAGACAGATCTAAAACCAAATTTCCAACATAGAAAGACAGAGCTTAGTCAGCTAAGGCGCGGTATCGAACGAACGTTTGCATCGCATGGCACCTTTTTAGGACTAGCTCCATGCGCGCCTATTACCATCAAACTTAAATGTAATTAAAACGTAACATCGGCATATAACCAATTTCTGTTCCAGTTGACGAAAATTACCGCAGACGACACGTGACACAGTGACTAAATAGCTTAAACTATGATACTAGATTGTGGATCATTGGCTCGTTTCTCAATGGCCAAGCGCTTCATTGTGCCCAGATGAGTTTTAGAGTGGTGGCCTGCAATATGTTCGGTTCATCTCTTAGCATGATTTCCATAGCCTTCAAGGAGTTCAAGATTTTCATTCAAAGCCATATGTAGCTAAGGGAGTAGCGAGAACCACTGTCGTTTCCGCGAAAATCCGACGTCGGAAAGTATAATTCTTCCCACCGATTCACAACTCAAGCCACAGCATCTTCTTGACCATCAAAAAATGTCCAACTATGAGTTCAAGTGGACTTCATTGGAAAAATATCAATTTACATACAGCAACTAAAATATGTGTAGAGGATTTTCCAAAAGTAACACGGCTTTCATATAGAGTGCAATCTGAGTGCTAACTCAGTAGAGTGACGTCGAGCCATAATTAGTGAAGTCCCTAAGCACTTACCCTGCGTATTCAGGTATAATCACGCCACTGTGAAATAAATGAAATGGCGAGCGTTATTGAAGTGAATATACTGCACCCGATAGCTTTTTCAATAATCCAGTATAGAGGCTTTCTCATAATTAATAATGATGGAATGTCACACAAAAAAAAAACCCTTTTCAGTGAACTAAAAATAAGCTAAATAGTTCCACTATCAAAGGCTTTTATTTCAGCAATAAAGAATGAGTTTATTAGCGATATCTCTTAATTAGTGCATTATTTCTGCAAAATCGCATTACAGCATCCTATAGTGACTTCAATTTGCTGACTTTCTGTCTTTTATCTTTCAAACGAAAGCATACAGAGGACTTTGAATTGTTGAGATGTCAGAAGCGCTCGGAAATAATCTTGAAAAAGAAAAGATTTAATAGAATGATTGAAAGACTTTTCTCATAGCAGCTTTTTATCAATGCTAGCTCAAGAAATGATGGGAGCTTTGATTCATTTGTTGATTTTATTACGAAAGTGCCAGAATTTAGTGGTAAGTTTTGAAACACAAGCCAAATTGAAGATCTAAAAACTGGGACAACTACCAAGATCTAGAAATCTACTTTCGGTTTTATCATGTATTGACCTTCAAGAAAATTAAGAATCAATGGACAAATTTATTTCCTGAAATCTGTCGCTGAAGGGCAATGCTTCAATATTACTGGCACATCGGGACTCTTGGCTTTTGAGAAATCGTTTGCTGTTGTCCTCGCTTCCTGCGAATGAGGCAACTTATCCCACATTAATTTTCCTAACACTCTGCCCACTGATTGTCGCCTGACATGGTGACTATTTTTGCTAGGCTTTGAATGAAACCAGTGCAGTCAGTGCGATTGTAAAGTTATGGAACCGATAAGTACGACAAACTCTTCTTCCCTTTGCCTTTTTATTAAGGAGGCATTTTGAATGCCGACTATGTGGTCTCGTTAGGGGAAACCTACTGTACTAAATTAACCATGCTGCATGACTTCAATCAACCAACTGCGCGAACCACATTTGCGAAGCGTTAGTACTTTGTTCAGATTTGAGTAGCTTTTCATTTCTTGTAGAACTCTGAGATGGCAGTGCCTATATCTGAAGATGCCATAATTTTATTTAACGTCTCACAGATTATATCTAAAATGTACGGAGGTACGTTCCTTTTAAGTGGAATTCCTTTCAGAATGACAGCTTTTCCTGATAGAGGCTTACTCATAGCACTGGGTGTCGAACGGAAACGCAATTTCCGTTTAAATTTTGAGACATGTGGAAATATAAATGTAGTTTATCTGGAATAAAAGCTTCTAACGCTTAAACACCTCCTTCATTTGTGTGTAAACTGGACAATGTAATTGTATTAGTGCAAAAATAGTAGGAATAGTTTTAAACATCAAAAATATTTAAAATATATACGAAGCTATTTCCTTCATTACACGTCTTTCGTATGTGTTAACTTTTCACTTGATATCTCATCGTATCTCAAAATGGACTTATCATATCTCAAAGGCTATTGCTATATTTATCAAAAGAAATAACTTCATCTACTCCACAAACTGGAAAAGTATGTGACTTGAAAATCATATAACTCTATTTACTATTAGTTTTATTTGAGGATGACGACTACACAACTGTCATTAGGCAAATTAATCTCTCTTCTACTTTTTTATTTCAATGTGAAAACGAGTCGAAAAGAAGTGATAGAGGATCATGCAGAATTGCAGGAAAGATTTGAGTGGCATAAATTGATTACTACCCTTCTTTCTTCCACAGCGTTTTCTCCACAATGAAGCGGTTTGGTGAATGAAAGTCAACGCACCCATTTGTCCTCTAATTTCGAGGGTGAATTGATATAAATAGTTTTTGTCTCAATGTTATTTCCTTTTTTCTCCAAAAGAAGTCCTGCCTTGGTGTATGGATTCTTAAAACTGCTTGCGAGCCCATTTTTACGTGAACAAAATATAAATGCCCTCACATCGTTAAATTATTTTTGTTAAGGGAACAAATTGAATAACAAGATTGGTTTATCGTGAGTGAAGATTTTTTTCCAGAAAACCTAGAAATATTTTCCTAAGGAGGCCTAAAATTAAACCACTTGTGCATAGAAGCATGTACATAGGGCGTGGCTATTCCAGGCAGTCATATGACTCCTAATCGCTTTGGTACCACTTAGCTGATACCACGATAAAAGCGAAGAAGAAAGAAAAGAACTTTACAGGATGCTATGCGCTTTAATTAATAATTAATTGCTTCTGTTTTTTTTTTAATTCTCGTCTCTAAACATATGTATTATAAAAGGGTAAAAAAAATTAAAAGTACAAAGTAATCGCGCAAAGTACATCTGTCTTCAGTAACCCAAAG